TCGTTGTTTGGGGTTTAGGGTTTAGGGGTTGAAGGGGTTTAGGGTTTAGGGATAAGGGGTTTAGGGTTTAGGATTAAGGGGTTTAGGGTTTAGGGATAAGGGGTTTAGGGTTTTATGTTTATGAGTATTGAGTTGGGGGTAATGATAAGTAATCAGAAGTATCGTTGACTTGTTTACAACCCAAGCTACTCAGTCCCATGATCCTTTAAGTGGGTTTAGGGCTTCGTTCAGGGCTCGGGGGTTCTTCAACCCTCCTTTGAAACGAAGCCCCCCCGCTGAAGATCAAGCTCGGCGTGGGGATCGCCCTGCTCGGCGCGTTGAGCGCCAGCACCTCGCCAGCCTTTGGCAAGAACTCGGCGAGAAGTTTTCTCAAGCACAGCCGTTTTGACGCGTATGGTCGATAAGTTGAGCTAGTGCGTGAGACTTGCCCACTTCGCATCCTTCTTCATCCAGGTCTGACCTACCTGCTGGTCCGGAAGCTCATGCGGCCAACGCCAGCGAAAGTTATTGATGCGGAGCTGGTGGTCTGGAGCTACTCTGCGACAGCCCTGTGCGTTCTGGTTGCAGCCCTTCCTTTCACGGAGGTGCCCTGGCTGCCTCGGGTGGTAGGTAGCTCTTCTTTACTTTGAAAGCCTACTTTCAGCTTGTCTTGGCATGGCAAGCGCCCTTATTGCAGTCTACTCGTACTTCGTGAGGAAGCCTGAGGCTTAACGAAATCTGAGCGTGTTGCAACTTGCCGTTCTACCCGGAATCTTATCCATCCAAGCAACAGAAGTTAGCATAAGGCTTGCCTGGACTATGCAAGTTCTGTATGTGGAGTTGTGCTTGCTAGGGCAGCTTCGTCTTCGAGGGCATTGATACATGGACGTGGCTGTCTCTGATCGCCGTGGGACTCACCAGTGTGACGGAGCAGCTGCTCGTGACCTTGGGCTTCAGAGGCTGCTTGGTTTCCGTAAACCGTAAATCCTATGAGGGTTAAGGCTTTAGGGTTTAGGGCCCTATACCCCAAGAAAGGAGTCGCAAGGCTTTAAGCCAAGGAGAACCCAGAAGCATCGTGTGGCACCGATGAGTGCAGGCCTTCCGGCGGCAGCTGGGACGCTGATGCTGACCCTTGAGGTGCCCAGACGATCAGAGACGTTTCAAGCTGCCCTCGTCGTTCTTTCCCGTAGCTCTTCGTCGTTTTGCCTTTTTTGACAATGAAGGCGCAGTGACCTAAACCCTAAACCCCAAACCCTAAACCGAACCCCCCGCACTCTGAAGCATCAAGGGAGCGGCAGAATCCTTAAGTCCATGTCCGGAATCTCCTCGAAGGGCAAAGTTCGCCTGAAGTTTCAAGTAGCGTACGCTACGTTACACACCCAAAAGGCTCAACACCGCTCAATTGAAGAGATTACCTACAAACCTACAATTTGAGGTACATTCCTCCTGACTCCAAATTGAGGACTCGGAACTGCCCAGACAACGGTACCTGGGGGTATTGCTGCTCTCTTGGTAGCACAGACCTAATCCCTACACCTTAAAACCCCTGAACCCCTAAACCCTACTTGGAGGATCATGGGACTTAGTAAGTAAGGTTACAAGTCCCCTAATTGGGGTTACATGTATAGTTACCTTGGTTAAAACCCTACTTACTACTGTTGATGGTATAAATCCTGCATTACCTTAAGGACCCTAAACTATGGGAATTATGGTATATTCCTTATTATGGGTAATGCAGGATTTATATCATCAACCGTATGTCCCATGATCCTTTAAGTAGTCCGGACGGCAGAGGCCGGCTTTGCCTTCCTCTTCAGCATGGTGGTGCTGCAAGAATCCTTGCGGCTCCAAACGGTGCTCGGCGCCCAGGCCTCAGTGTTGAGGCCAGAAAATTTCTGAGAATTTAGGGCTCGAGGTGCTCTTGAGGGGCAAAGCGATGAATACCCATAGGCCCCGTAGTTCCTTTTTGGGGTTACCTTATAGGATTCTATATATGAACCCCCAAAAGGAACTACTTTAGGGCCTATAATTGGACTCGATTCGCAGAAGAAGGTTGAGGATGACCCCAGAGGACCTAAACCCTAAACCCTGAACCCTAAACCCTAAACCCTAAACCCTAAACCCTAAACCCTAAACCCCAGGCCCCTTGAGAGAGTGCCCCGAGGCAGCCTTGGTCGCAGTGGCTCCTTGCCTGCAGAGGGATTGGGTTTAGGGTTTAGGGTTTAGGGTTTAGGGTTTAGGGTTTGCATAGACAATATCGCGTACTATTTTGTTAAAAAAATTTACGGTGTAGAATACATGGAAAACATACAAATTTACATATAAGATTCTGTACTATATGTTTTATACTATGCTTTTCTACTACTAGGCATTATTTAAAACAAGCAGCAAGATTGAAAGGCGGGAATCCAAAGCTCGCCCGCAAGGCAGTGGTTGTCACGCTGCGCCGGCCTGCAGGAAATCCAAGGCCAGCCCCAGACCCTACCACTTTAGCACTGTGCAATGGAGCGTGAATGTAGTATCCCCTTGATCACCCTTAGCCCTCCCCTATATCACCCCCTACAGAATACCCCTTCCAATTCCAACCGCTTACACTACAGTAGACCCTAGATAAGCCCCTCGTAAGAAGAGCGGCGTGCCAGGCCAGCAACCGTAGCCCACGGTGGCGAGAAGAGCCTGGAGCAAGTCAGTTTTCAGGCGGTCTGCAACTTTGAGGAAGGAGAGGCTGTGAGCTGGCACAAAAGAGCCCCATGAGATGAAAGAAGAGCCTTAAGAGCCTCGGATGTCAGAGGTTTGCAGAAAGTTTTGCGTCATAGTCTTTTTGAGATTCGCGTGCTTGCATCTGCGTTCTTTCCAGATCTTCCAGTGAGCGTTAGCTGTTAATTCCAAGATCGCGTCTTATGACATTTGTTTGGTGTCTGGCTTCAGGTTATTAGGTTAGACGAAACCGGAGATTCACAAAAACGTGCCCAGGAGCTGTTATGTTCTTTCTTCGGCCCACTCAGGCCTACTCTTTGCCAGATTCATCTGCGCCGCACGCTTCTGCAGCTAAATTCCTACTCTGACGACAAGGACGACTTTGCCAGCTTCATTGCACGGCCACGTTGAACTTCTCAGACTGCCGGCTCTCAATACCTTTCTGAACAAGCTGCGTGCGACGGAGTCACGCCGCATTCGCACATGCAGAAGCCTAGGCACCTTGAAGCCTACAGCGTGAACCCAACTGCGTGATCGGGAGCGATGCGAAGATCCACACGGCTTCGCGCATGGGCTGTCCGAAAAGTCCAGCAGAGATGGTCGCTGGCGGGCCCATGGAAGGCGGAGGGCCTATCAAAGTCGCCCTCGATCGTCTGAACACCGCGACTTGTTCTTCATTCGGAAAACAGATGCAAGAGTCGCTCCACCTCGTTCCGGAGCCAATGCTTCTCTACAGCAGAGGTCTTGGACTCTGCGACCACAGCAGGCAACTTACGTGGGAACTTGGTGCCAACCTACAGTGGGGGAGAGGAAGTCGCCCTGCTGAAGCTGCGTGCTGGCTGTAACAGAGCAAAAGTGGCAGACCCACGTGCCGAGAGAAGCCCAGACTGAGACGGAAGCCCGTTTTCCGCTTCTAGGAAAAGAGCCGTGCTAGGAGCGTTCATACAAGGGGTTACTACAACTACAGCAGGGCCTCAGGGTAAAATGAGTTGTGCACAGCCAAACTAGCTGCTAAAGGCCAACAGATCTATTGGTGCTTCGCCACAGGTGATCCACAGCTCTTCAGGTAGGATTAAGGATCTCTTTCATAAGGGCTCTTCAATTGGGAGCATCACCTCAATCCTAAAAGCCCTAAACACCCTGAAAGCCCTAAAGCCTTCCAAACTCTGGCAAAGGTCGGGACTATGCCTCGTCTCCTTGGGCCGCTCGGGCAGCGAAGCTCCAGCCGCTTTTGAAGAAGGGTTTAGGGTTTAGGGTGTGTATACAGTGTGCAGGCGGTGGGTGCGCTTATTTCGCATTTTTTATAAGGAGCACCCTGCTTCACATGCGAAGGTGACTCCCGTGCAGCTCTTTGACGGACCCAAGCGGAAGGCCCAGTTTTTTTGGGAAAGCCGCGTTGAGAACAGTTCAAGACAGCGGGGCTTAGTCTTAGTTCCTTTACGGGTTGTTTCAAGATGTTCTATAAGGGTTCTCAAAGGTTCAGGGTTCGATAAGGATTTCGTAGGGTCGCAGGGCTTAAAATACGCGCCTTTGGTTGCCAGGCCGGTGACTCCGAACAAGAGCTGCTTCTGCCACCTTTCATTGCTTACGAATTCGAGGACCTGCCTTCTTGAGCGTAGCCCGATCTGCAGCATCTAACAAAATTTCTCATCTCCCTGCATGGCAGGAAGAGTACTCTGTTGATTCAGACATGGAGTTGCCAGAGAAGCCGGTGCCTTACTGCTTTTGCATCGAAGTCCCAGTGATCCTAGGATCCCAAATCCCAAGCCTATTCCGTCTAAACCCCTCAACTCTAAGCCGCTAAACCCCGAAACCACCCTAAACCCTAAGCAGCGTGAACCCTAAACCTAAGTCTAAACCCTGTGCCGAACCCTAAAGGTTAAATTCAAAACCCCTTGAGCCGAAACCGAAACCCCTGAACCCCAAAGAGCCTAAACCCTAAGCCCTAAACCCAAAAACTCGAAGAAGCAGTGAGAAAGCAAGCCCGCTAGCAAGAAACTTCAAAAGCTAGAACCCTAACAGAGCTCCCTTGGCCCCAAACCCTAATCACTTAACCCTAAGCTTTAAACCCTAAAGCCGTAAACGCAACACCTCAAACCCCCCCAAAACCCCTAGGCAGATGCGCATCGGCGAGCTTGAGGAGAGTTGGGGCGTCCGCCTCCCCGAGTCTCTCGGAGGCTCTGAGTTTCAGAATTGGGATTCCTGTACTTGAAGGATCGTGGGACTTAGTAAGTAGGGATATAAGTCCCTTAATTGGGGTTATAAGTATAGTTATCTTAATTATAACCTTACTTACTAAGTCCCATGATCCTTTACGTAAGGGCTCTCAATTAATGGTTCTTATCAAGGGATTCTTTAAGGGTTCCTTTAATGAGATCTAGAAGGGTTCTAGAAGGATGTAAGGTTTACGGGGCTCCTTTAAAGGGATCTAGGCTCTATGGTTCAGTAAAGGATCTATAAAGGGGTTAGGGTTTAGGGGTTTAGGGTTCGGGGTTCGGGGTTCCTTGAAAAGGGATCTGTCAGTTAAGGGTTCTATAAGGGATCTATAAGGGTTTAGGGGTTTAGGGTGTACCTGGTCCCCAACAGCAGAATAATAGCTGTTCATGGGTGTTGGGATGTGTTTTTACTTACTTTCGGGTGCTTAGGTATAAGAGGACCCTAATAACACAGGGGCCTCATAATTTCATTGCAGTTTGGAGATACATTATACTATGAAGATATTAGGGAACCATGAGGATCAGGATACTTTCTTTGAGTTTCGAAAAAATTGGGGCCCCAATACATAATACAGGAGCTTTGACTGGGGCTTCGGGATTTGTTGTGCCATGTTTGAGTTCAGGAGCTCTCAAAATAGTGTTCTAATGCAGAACCCTGAATCAGAGGATCCCTGCTAAAAGGGGCGCCTACACAAGGTACCATCTAGCTAGGCACCCAAGAAAGACAGGGGAGGGGGGTCTCTAGCCGTGAGAAGCCGATCTTCGGGTATGAAGCAGTCTTTGCCCTGTGGGTCTCCCATTGAACAAAATGAGGGGGGTCCCAATCTTGCTCTGCCCCACTTGATTCATGATGCAGGGGTTTTCCATCAAGAGAACGGCTACCTCGCAGCATCTACTTTAGCTGGGGTTGAAGGGTGAGGGATTTAGGATTGAAGTTACGTTTCGGGGGTCTTGGGCGAAGGGATTCGGATTTTTATTGCCGACAGTATGGCTGAGGCATCTCACACACTTCGTCTACGGACTCCTGCCTCACCTGAACAACTCACAGGCCGGGGATGTTGTGAGTCTGGGGGTCTGTTTCGTCAATGGGCAGCTTTCTAAATTAGGGTCCCGTTTAGGGTCCTTTTTATAAGGGTGCCGTACTATATTGGGGGTCCCTAATTTAGAGAACTACCCAAGTACGAGTATACAGACAAGTCCTTGGCACCATATTTTCACACCACCGATGAAAGGCTTCGCGACGCTCTCGTGGATGGTTGCTTGACCTGCCAGCTGCGAGGGATGTTGCTTATGAGCCTGTAGCAGCAGAATTAGCAGAAGCAGCCGAATGAAGCAGCTGCAACAGCAGCAGCCATGCATTTGACCAGCCGTATAAAGTCATCAAAGCAGAGTGATTCATAGTAGCCGGTAGCAGCTGTGGATGTTCGGCTCTCGTCCATGCTTTGGACGAGGTCTAAAGAAGACAAGCATGGTTTAGAAATGTTGTAAATATGGAGAGTCTTGGACCAGAAGAAGCGACAGGTCCTAAGTCTAAAGCCCCGAAACCTAACCCCAGAGCCCGAGTTAAACCCAGAACCCGAGTGTTGAGCCGTACTAACCATGAGCTCAAAACGACTACTTAAAGGATCATGGGACTTAGTAAGTAAGGTTATAAGTCCCTTAATGGGGATTATAAGTAAATATAAGTACAGTTACCTCAATTATAACCCTACTTACTAAGTCCCATGATCCTTTAAGTAGGCAGTCCGAGCCTTTTGCCTTGTCAGGTGTCGTCCCCTGCTGGCGGTTTCCGAGTGTGGGGCACTGAGACGTCTTCGAGGTTTAAGAGTCCTACACCTGAGAGAGTAAGTCCCAAGCCTTTTCAACACCCTCAACCCTAAGCCTGAAGCTTTAGTCTTGAGGCTGTGGGATTCCTATAATATTACAGCCGAGAGTTGCTGGCTGTGAGTCTTTGTACTCCGTGCTCTGACGACAAGGACTTCCAATGAACATTCAGCGATGCAGCGTCGGGTGTGGCAGAGCTTCTGTTGGTGCCGTTTGCCGGGGGGTTTTACAATAGGCTAGCAAAGACGTGCTCCAAACTCAAGGCAGATTCCAGCTGGTGTCATCGCCCTTGCAATTGCAGTAATCGGTTGATACTTGCACGCCAGAGATCATCAGGATGTGGGCTTCAGGGATAGGGCACGGCACCTTTGTAGTGAAATGCCAGTTACAACTTTACAATACTTTGACCGGAAACTCAGCAAAGCCGTACAACATCCGAAGCCTTATGCCCCACGACAAATCCGCTACAACCGAAACCCAGCAAATTAGTATAGTACCCTAGTATACTCATAACAAGAAGAATAGCAATAATATCAAGAAGCAGAATGATAAGAATCACAGTAATAATGACAAATTGTGGTCAACACTAATCATAATAGCCATATCGTCAATTGCACTTGAGGTCACTCCGTTTCCTACGCCGTGCAGAGCCGGCAAAAGCCGTGTCGCAGCTGCTTCAGGACAGGTCGCACTCCCTAAATCCGAAACTACTTATATTAATATAGACACATTATATCTATATATATATATAATTAATCCTAAATTACAAAGCCCTAAACCCTGAGCCCAAGACACCCCAAACCCCAAGTGGGGGGGGTGTAGCGTCGACGGGTGTGTGGCCGAGGTTTGAACAATCTGCTTCACTTGCTGTCGTGCTGATCGTTAACATGTGATTTTCGAAGCAGTCTTTGTAGTCGGGTTGGACAGTCTGAGCCATGACTCCGCAAGCTGAACCCCAAAGCTTCCAAGCTGAGCTGGGGCACGAAGAGCCCGCAAGTCGTGGAGAGAGCAGGATACCACGCAGCTCCTCTACCGGTGGAGTGCGGAGGAAGAAAAAGGGGTGCCAATTCGAGAACGATGCCTTGCCTCGCATGTCGGGCCCCGTCGGGCTCGGGGTTCTGCACCGGTCTCTGATTGTTTATGTGCAAGCAAATGCAGAGCCTGTTGAGTGCTTCAGCCAAACTTTCATGACTAGGTTCCTGAGTAGTACCCTTTTGCCCTTTCTATTGTATGGTTCCCTTATTAAGACTGAATAGCAGGAAAAAGGGTACCCTTATTACAAAGGGGTCACTCAAGAACCTAGATGCTCAGGCCATGACGAAAGCTTTGAAGCAGGCCGACATCGCCAGGGGATTTCCGTCCAGGAACTCTGCTACGGGTGTTGGTCTTCAGGGCTTCGCGTGGCAAAGGCCAAGCTTGGAGGACCTGAAGCATGCAAGATGGGGGCCGTACTGTAATAAATCGAAAAGGGTTTTGGAGTATATTACATTTTACTCTAACTATATTAAAGAACCCCCTATAGTAAGCTTCTTTTCGACTCTAGCTCTGTTCTCTTCCTTGCTCTTGTGTTCCGTTCAATTCTGTTCAGACTCTGACTGAAAGATTGGCTGTGTATGTCCATGTAAGTAGATCAGTAGATCGGCAGGTCGGTGCCTGCGCAGGTACGTTGGTCAGTGTGTTTGCCTACTGTTGCATAGATACCACAGTTATATACACATGACCAGTGGTGAGTATGGTAGAACCGTTGTGTGATTGTGCCTGCATATGAGCATGTGCATCTATCTACCCTATATACATATGTGTATGTCATATGTATATATATATATATATGTATACCCTCCCCTTTTTCATAAAATATATAAGCAATAATTAATGAGTTAATTAGTTAATTAGTCAATTAATTAGTTACTTATTTAGTTAATCAGCTGACTAATCAATTAATTAACTAAATAATTAGTTTATGTATATATATATATATAAATGTATACATACACAGACGAATAAGTTGTTACATACATGAGTACATTGTTACATAAATGAGTACATACATACATGTGTATATATATATATGTATATGTGTATACATATATACATATGTATATATATAGGTATATATATATATATGTACGTATGTATGTATGTATGTATGTATGTATGTATGTATGTATGTATGTATACGCATGTATGTATGTGTATGTATATATTATATATATGTATATATGTATACATACATGCGTGTATTTAATACCACAAGAGGCACAACGGTCTCTCTCGTCGGATCTACATGTTCATCCCCATGTATAGTATATTTTGCAGACTTTGCCCTGTCAAAGTTCGGGGAATTCCACGAGGGTTTAGGCTAGGGACAATATGCAGGTTTCAGGGTTTGTGGCCATTACTTGGAGCATCATGGGACTTAGTAAGTAAGGTTATACGTCCCCTAATTGGGGTTATAAGTATAGTTACCTTAGTTATAACCCTACTTACTAAGTCCCATGATCCTTTAAGTAGGGTTTAGGGTCTAAGGCCGTTTAGGGTTTGGGGTCGCCCTAAACCCTAAACCCTAAACCCTAGGGTTTGGGCTATGACAGGTGGAGGCAGAGTTCTACGACACCTTGCTTCGGCAGCGGGAGCCGAGCCGCCACGTCCTGCGTGGGGATGCTAGGGCCGCTAGGGATTCGGGTTTAGGGTTTAGGGTTTAGGGTTTAGGGGTTTAGGGTTTAGGGTTTAGGGTTTAGGGTTAGGGTTTAGGGTTTTCGGCTGTAGAAAGGCGAATGGGGCTTTCGGAGTCATATATTGTGAGTGATCCACGTCAGGATGTGGGCTTGGGCGAAAGTTCGGTCAACAGAGATATGCCTGCAGCCAGGCTTCAACGCAAGCAGGAGAACTCCAAGCGCCAACCTCAGCACGTCTCTGCAATCGAAAAATGGCAAGTTGGCCTCTGAAAGGCGACTTCCCTTGCTTGAAGGACCATGGGACTTAGTAAGTAGGGTTATAATCAGGGTAACTATACTTAGAACCCCAATTAGGGGACTTATAACCTTACTTACTAAGTCCCAAGATCCTCCAAGTGGCTTTCCTGACAAAAGTCTGCTCTTGAAAGGTGCCATGGCTGTGCGCTGAAGCACACGCACTACGAGCAGCTGGGGGCGCGGAGGTCATTGGCAGCAGACATCGAGGAAGCAAAGGGTGCTTAAAGGATCATGGGACTTAGTAAGTAGGCTTATAACTAAGGTAACTATACTTATAACCCCAATTAAGGGACTTATAACCTTACTTACTAAGCAAGCAAGAAGTCGCAGGACCTGGATCGCGAACTGGGCGCTGAATCCCTGGGCCTCCTGCCACAGCTGCGGGCCAAGGAACAGGCGAGGGCCAAAAGTGAGCCACGGTTTGGGGGTTTTAGGGTTTTAGGGTTTAGGTTTAGGGTTAAGGGTTTAGGGTTTAAGGGTTTACGGTTTAGGGTTGTCTTCGGAATCCATTCCGAGCTGGCGCAACATAGTAACCCTCCAAGTATAGAACGCACATGGTAACCTTTATAATAGACCGTATAGTAGTCGGTTGAGTGTCGGTTGTAAGACCCGTTTAATACCCTAATGATGACTCCTGCTCATCACCAGGCCTGATCATGATGCTTGTGCTTACAGCCAGTGTTCTTTTTTAAGCGTCCGGTCGTGCCCGACCTTCATGTTCATCATTGCTCCAGACTGGTGTAAGCATGATAGTCATTCTGCTTGCTTCGTCGTCATCCTTGCAGAGATCATCGCCATTCCTGCAATGTGGTAGTGGAGGGTTGGTGAAATGCAGCAGGTGAAATGCAGCCGCATTCACGGCTCCTTCCGGTTCATGTAGCCATGGTGTGCGCATCCTTTGTGGCAGGTGTTGCGGGATCTCCAATGCCTGGACGAAGACGGCCTCATTTCTTTCAAAGGACAGAGAAGGAGTAGCCATTGTGCCGGGCCCCTGAAGGCAATGAGAATATCATGACAATAACAATCGAAAGAGTGAAAATCAGTAGTAAGTTTTAATAGTAATAGTCGTAGTCAGAGTCAGGCACAGCAGCAGCAATAGCTACTAGCTACTCGTATAGTCATAGCAACGGCAATGTCAGTAGCAATAGGAATAGCAACAGGAAGTGGAATGGGAGTAGCAGTAAGAATAACCATCATCAGAAGTACAATGTGCATGAAGTAGTTAAGAGCTCTTCTCTAAGACCTACGGACATACGTGGATGCTTCGACTAAGCCTTTGTGCAGGACAGGCTGCAACAGAGGTGCTCTCAGGCGATGAGATCACTGTTGCGGAGGCTTCCGCGTTTCGTATTATTGTTGTATATCCTTTGATGTTGTTTTATTACTATTGCTACTACTTCTATTATTGCTATGATTGTTACTCTTACTATCATTGCTACTATTTCAATTCTGGGCCGGTGGATCTGAGCCGATTTTTTCGTCGCGGTTGCAGTGTAACTATTATATTAAAGTATACCTCAACACTCTGTGATGGCAGGTGGTGTTCCGCAACATTCTGGAAAGCCACACACCGGAAGAAGTGGCAGCAGCCGTCACGGCCTTTGTCTTCCCGGACAAGGTGGAGATGCCTGAGGACATCCGCCATTGTCGCTGGCAGTTCGTAACATCAGGCAGCCCAGTAACAGACTCAGACTTCGAAAAATCGACTAAGAAGAAGTCCCCTGCCCCAGCCTCTCCCTGGTTTTCTCGGCTTCCTTCTGCACCGCTAGCCGCAGGACGCAAAGATGGAGGAGCTGCCGGAGAGCCTGGCCATGGTTCGGCAGGCTGAGAATTCAGGGAATGGCTTACTTAAAGGACCGTGGGACTTAGTAAGTAGGGTTATAATTAGGGTAACTGTACTTATAACCCCAATTAAGGGACTTATAACCTTACTTACTAAGTCCCATGATCCTCCAAGTAGGATCAGCGGCTACAGGTTTCGGGTTATCTTGCTCGGGAGAGCAGCTCTGTTGGAGTTTGAAACTCTGC